TCTGTGCAAATCTATAAAGCCAACTTGATTAATGTTCTGTCCTGTTTTGAAAGTGGTGTATTAAGATCTCCCACTAGAATTGTAGAATTTTCTTTCTTTTTCTTCAATTCTACTAAGGTTTGATTTATGTATTTTGAGGCTACTTTGTTGGGAGCAAAACTATTTATTGTGATTATGTCCTCTTATTCAATTGACCCTTTAATTTATGAGATAATGTCTTATTTTGTCCCTTATGCTGTTTTGTTTTTTGTTTTTTTTCTTCAAGTTTTTATTGTGATTTGAGTGAAAGTTTACAGGGCAGATCATCAGTTTTACATTAAAAATCATATTCCTTGTTTCATTACAATGATTATAATCCCCTCCATGTACCATCAAATAACAGCATTTCTCTCTATTCACTTTAGCGCCTTAAAAATAAAAACAACCTTAAGCATATATAATAATTTACACCACCAAAGAGCACATTCTGCAAGTCTGCCTCCTGGCCGCAGTCTCTCTCTTCCCATGAATCTAGAATCCTCAGCTGCTCCCTCTCTCCATGTCCACATCTCTGCCTCCATCTCTGGATAAAGTCTCACGTTCTGCTTGTGCTCTTCTCCCTTGATGGTCCTAGGGTCCTTTGTTTCTGGAGTGTAAGATTAAGTACTCTCCTGTTTTTGTTACAAAACTTCTACCTTTACAACTGTGACAGTCGCAATTAGTCATGGTAACTATTACTCACTACTGAATCATAAGAATCTTATCCCCATCTCTTTTAACCGACCCATCTAGACAAGATGAAAACTGTTCAGTGGGAAGTCTTTCTTCCCCCAAACACTCTTAAACTCCTTATGCTGGGTTTTGCCTTGAAGATTATTTGATCAAAGATTAACATTTTCACTGCTGTTCATTTTTTATTGCAATTAGCTTTTTTCCCATACTTTTATTTTTAATAATAGATTAAATACTAATGAATGGAAAATGGTTTTTTCCATCCTTTAATTTTTAATCATTTTTGTCCTATATGTAAGTATACCTCTTACAGATAGCATATTGAAGGATCCTGTTTCTTATCCAATCTGCTAATTGCTGTCTCTTGACTGGTACATTTAATTCATCAACATTCAATTTAATTATCTCCAGGTATGGATTAATTGCTGTCGTTTTGCTGCTTGTTTGTTTTCTTGTGGTACTGCTGATTCTTTGTTCTACATGCTTTCCTGTGCTGGCTTCGTTTTTTTGTGCTTTTCTTGTCAATTTCTTTATAGCTTAAATTGTTCTATAATCTTCTATTTTCATTTTCTTTATTTGGTATGAAGGTGTGTTAAATTTCTTTGAAATTTCCTGTACTTTATTAATTTCTTCCTCAATTTAAAAGTCTATTCTATCCTGAAATCTACTTGATCTCCTCACCACCTGAAAATGTGTAACTATACTTTTCCCTTCCTTTGTCTTTTGTTGTCGTGATCACATACTGACATCCCAGATCCCCTATTTTTCAGTTTTATAGTTTTGTTCTGCTCTGGACTCTTTTATATCTGGAGTGAGTTTTGGGTTTTGTTGCCATATCTGTTAGTCTGTGGTTGTTGTCTACTCTTGTTAGTTCTCAGTCCAAAGAACTCTCTTTAGTATATTTTGTAACATTGACTTGGCTTCTACAAAGTTCTTTAATGTTTGTTTATCTCAAAATAATGTAATTTCACCATCATATTTGATGGACAGTATTGCTGGGTATTTGATTCTTGGTGGACAGTTCTTTTTTTCTTTCAGAGTTTTTGATATGTCTCCCCATTGCCTTCTTGCCTGTATGGTTTCTGATGGAAAACAGAGCTTACTCTTATGTTTTCCTTTTTAGGTAGTATTTTGTTTTCCCTAGCTGCTTTCAGGATTCTTTCTTCATCTTTGATTTTGGAGAGTTTGGTTATAATATGGAATGGTGTTTTCTTTTTGCAGTCTATCCTACAATGGGTTCGTTCAACTTCTTGTATGCTTATCTTCTTGTAGTTCATGATGCTAGGGAAATATTCTTCCTGCAGCTGTTCGACTATCTTTTATCTGGTTTTCTTTATCTATTACTATTCTGGAAACCCGCTCATAGCTTATTCCTCTTCATGTTTTCTCACATGGATCTTAGGCTTTCTTCAGATTTTTTCATTCTTGCTTTTCTATCTTAGCAGTATTAAGAGATTTGTCTTCAAGCTCACTAATTCTGGCTTCCATTGATCTAATTCTACACCTTTGCAGTTCCAATGTATTTTGCATTTCTGATATTTTAGTAATTATTATCTGGACCTCTTTCTTGCGGGTTTTCTGTTGTCTCCAATGCTACATTGATTTTGTTCAGTTGTTCCTGTAGCACTTTTCTGAATTTTTCCTTATTTCCTTGACCTTTATGTAGAATATTTGGCTG